CGGGTAATAGTACATGTTGTACAGAGCACTTTACAGCAGTACCCGGTATGGCTCTGACCATCCGTCCAGCGTCACTTAAGCTGCATCCCCGTCACAACGGCCTCAATCCAACCGCGCACTCCCCGCGGCCCTCCATCCACTCTCCACGCACTGCCCATGAACCGCCCATATGGCACCCATGGGCAGCCCATGGGCAGCCCATGGGAAGTTCATGAAGTGCCCATGGGCGCCCATGGGCTACCCATGGGTGCCATATGGGCGGTTTAGCAAAACTGCCAATAGTGTGGGAGGTTGTACGCCGAGAGGCAAAGGCAGGATTGCTGCTGCTGTGAATGACATGTAGCAACACAGATGATTGCCGGTTTTCCTGAATCGAGCCTGAACTGAACAACTCACGCACATGGGCACGGGTTAGGTTGAGATAAAAACAACATCATCCAGAGCAGGAGGTATGTACCACGCCAGGTTTACTACGGTTACGCATCGTACTTGAGAGCAGCGGAGAGATTGACGTACAACGATGCCCGACAGCGAAACTGCTGTGCAAACAATTATACCAGGGCACTTTGTGTCGTAGTTGGGCGCTTACCGTCTCGATCGCTTGATGCAACGGCGGCTTGGACACCGCCCTTCTCGCTCCCCGACCCGCAGGCATTATTACTTTGCTTTATTTAGTCGGTGGACGTTCTTCTTCGATATCCACCGATGCTTGCTTGACCCAAGCTCTACTCTCGTCTGTTTCACCCAGCCAGCCTAGCAACTCCAGCCTGTTGTCGCAGGGCGGGCCATTGTGCCGCAGTTTTTTTTTTTGCACAATGATGTGTGTCTTCTTCAGACAATATCGTCATCAATCAATAAAAGGGATTTTTGGTAACGAAAAAGCGGCTGGAACTAAATGGGCAGTTTGCTTGCTGGTGCGACAGGTTTGGCGATACTTCGAACTTCGAACACAGCAGCAGCTGTTCGCTCGCGAGGTTCCTGCGATATGATAAAAAAAACAAGATGATGATCGCGAGAGCGGCTCTTTTTCGGCTCCTCTCACAGAGATACTACTGTATATAATGCTCTCCTCTCACGTACAGCTAGTCTAGATGGGAGCTAAAACGAAGGTCATGATATATTTCTGTTCTGTTCTATTGTATCGTTGGAGCGGTGTCTCTACTCTGCTGTATGTGTGAGATGTGAGATGTGAGACACTTGACTTTTTGGCGCAAAGAAAATGGTTGACAACAATCTACAGAAATCGTTGGTTGAAGTTCATACATGCATGTGCTTGCTATTTTTGGCCGCGTGATGAGAGGTATGTAGAATAAATCAGGGTATCGACCCAGATGCGCTACGCAGGAGATAGAGTGGTATGATGCAGACCTCTTCTGCACACCAGCCCCGGCGCTGTCAGTTTGTTTTTTAGAGACGCGCCGTTGCATCCCGGGCTATGGACAGCGCCTGTGAAAATGAGAAATGTTGGAGAGCTGTAGAGGGTCAACAGAAATTTCCGCAGAAAGTGGAGACCGTTCCACGGAAGCCGGAAAGCTCACCCAAGCGGATGGTGTGATGATTTGACAGATTCTTTTACTCCGCACAACAACAGCTCAGTCCAAGTAGAAGAGCAGGACCAGCAAACAGCCAGCGATTGCAAGAAGAGGACGCGAGTCGCTGCGACGACAGGAGATACGAGATACAGCCCCGCACGGTTCAAGCAGAAACAACCAGTGCTCTCGCAGGTTTCCCAAGGACAGCGGCAGCAGTGGGCGGGAGCCGCTTCGTTCTGAGGCAGTCTATCGTGCCCTCCCCACAAGGTACGGAGGCGCCCATGAGACGGCAGTAATGCGGCGTGTTGTGGTGCTAGCTACTGCAGATCAGCAGTGTGAATTATCGGAGGAATCCTGTTTTTGGTTGCCCCCTCGGGACCAAGATTGACACGCAGGCGAGTCAAGTTGCGCGCCTCACTGCTGTAGTCTATATGGCCTCGCGCTGTAGACTAAAATCTCTCCGGCTTCTGGTCGACATACATATATGTCCAGCAGTGTGCACCGCGGATCTCTGAAGGTACCACCACTGCTGTACACACCGCCGACGCAGCCAGCCCCGCGCAATAAGCAGCAGTGCGCGAAGCTATTATTCCTCGCAACCTGCTCCTCCTGTAGTCTAATGCGCATGCACCCAATAATGCTGAAAATGAGGTTATGAAAGACAACTTCAACACAGCACTCAGTTTTGCTGCGCTGGGCGACTTTTCTCTACAAGAAGGACCTTGTGATTTTTTTTTTTGCACCCTTTTTCGGTCCCCAGATGATGTGTTGTCCGAAACACGCACAAGACGTGT